GCTTAGAGAACAGTACAGATGGAGTATTCAATTATAATACAGATGTAATGTGACCAAAGCAGAAATTATGAGGTAGCATTATGAGTGTTCAGGAGTCCAACAGCAGAGGGGAAGAAACTGTTCTTATGGCGGGAGGTTCTGGTCCGAATGGACCGAAGCCTCCTGCCTGAGGGGAGTGGTTCGAACAGTCCATGTGCAGGGTGAGCAGGGTCAGCTGTGATCCGACCTGCTCACCTCACTAAATATATCTTTAGCCAATCAAACACTTTGAAACTGTGAACTTACTGATTTTATTAAGCTATGAGTTAATAAATGATTATTGATAGACTAGTTTTTGGATTTTTACATGTACTGAAATGATTATAGAACACTGTTTTGACATTACAAATATTTATAGGTTGTGTTTACAATGCTAATCAATTAATGATGTGATTATATCTAAAGCTAAGTCTTGGGGTTTTTGAATGATAAATTAGAACAACTGCTATTATGGATAAAAAGCAATATTTTGAAAGTAGAGTTACAAATTTCCTATCTGTTAATTAATTCCAAAACTGATTAGTTGAATGTGGGAGAAGAAAATTACAACTTTTAGTTGAAACTAAAAGGTTTTTTTAGAGTGAACTTCTTGGTGTTATAACTAAGTGGACCTTCCTAGTAGTGTGTTACAACCTAACAGGGAGGAAGTCAAACACGGGTGAATATAACAGGAAATTTAACAGATAATATGAAGCTAAGTTCTGGGTAAAGTTTTAACAATTAAATACAGATGTGTACTTTAGACTTGTGGTTAATTTGAATGTTGAACTCAACATTAATTGGGTGACAGGTCTTCTCCAACTACTTTGAGAGATGAGATGATTGATGGACTGACTAATTATGGGATGGGTTAAATATTAACGTTTACAGTTTATGTACAGTATTATGAAGCGTTATGATGATTTTTTTTCCTTAAAATTAACATGGTTGAACAAGATACTTTTGCATGGTACTTAGCTAAATATTACCTTTAATGATTACTTGATGATTTCTTTATTTAATGACGATTTGATGTATGAAGACATTCTTATTCATGAGTTTTTTAATGTGTGTTTGTAATTAGTTTCAAGACCAGATCATGATGAAATAATGCCACTAGATGGTGCAATTGTGATGATAGATTGTTTTCTATGAAACAATTTTTTTACAGCTGGGCCATGAGAGAGACCAGAGGATTTTGATAAATACATATAATGAGGTTTTATAATATAAATTTTCCAGGGGGTGAACTTATGAAATTTTTCAATCTAAACTGATATTAAATTGAAGGGTGGTGGAATGGGTGAATTGATTTGTTGGTTAATTGGGAATGTTTTTATATTACTTACCAGGAGGAGTTGGGAGGTTCTGTTATTTACATACATATGCACGTTAAAACACGTTAATTGTTTAAATCTGATTTTATTCACACAAACACATTTTTCTGCTGTGACAGGCTAAAAATACCGGCAGCGCTCTGTGCAAATAAATTGGGTACTGCATGATTGAAGGGGAAGGGGGCACAGAGTTTTTCTTTTTCCTTTTCAGATGGACCAAATGGACCAGGCCTGCCCTTGGAGTCAAAAAGAGAAGATTCAGGTTCTACAAACTGATGAACATCTATTAGATAAGAACGGTTTCTTGCATTAGGATGCCTTCTGCAATCATTAAATCATATATTTAGAGCTCAGACTTAGACAAATGTTAGAAATTTCCATTATGTCATATTCACCACACCAGGTGGATGCTGAAGTCCTAGGCAGATGTCCAGGGCTGGGTCAGGTGACCAGAGGCTGGCAGGTCACACGCTATAGCCTGTAGGCATCTCCCACCAACATATAAGGAGTAGTTCACATTCAACCAGAGGAAAGTGATTAATTGCTTGCTTATCTGGCGGTACTGAACTCAGAGTTTTTATGCGAGGGAACCCATTTTAGGGTCCCTCGCCCAGGGGGAGTTGTTAAGATATTTTTGGACTGGTCCTATGGTTTTGATCTGCTCAGACGGGATTATAATGAAATTATGACCCAGTTCTGACTGGGTTAAACTGGGCCAGCAGCTCTAAGAGAGTCTCCCTGGGATTTCAATATCAGTCAAGGAATAGAGTTTAATCTGCTTGCCACATCACATAGAAAGGCTTTTGAAGCACCGTCTCATATTTCCTAACACATCAGAACCACATAAGATCCATTGAGATCACACTTAGTCACGCCCCCTCATACACTGACAGGTTGAGCTCCCCTTCTGCGAAGGAGGAGTCTAGGCCCCTATAAATGAGTAATGACACGGGACATCGGAGCTCTTCCGGGTCTGTGAACGCGTCACAAACTGGAGAGTCCAGCGCAGTAAATTGTAACTTTTTCCTGCCTTGATTGTAATACAATTGGTAAAACTTAATTGACGTTTCCTTGATTTATTGATAATGAGAGTTGCCACTTCTGAGGGAGAGCCGAGCCGGGGGAAGGACGTGGGCTGGAGGGGGTTTCTGGGTCCGGCCAGCTCCCGTCTTTAACAATTCATTCAACCTTTATGTAGACAGGTAAATCCCATTGAGCCTCGAGGACTCATTTACAAGAGAGACCCGATTTCAACAAAGAATGATGACAACAATGGACAATAGCAACAACAATAAACAGTTATAAAAAAGGAATCCATCCATCCATTATCTTTACCCACTTATTCCATTTTGGGTCATGGGGGTCGCCGGTGCACATGTCCAGCAATCACTGTGCGAGGGGCGGGGGACACCCTGGACGAGTCGCAAGTCCATCACAGGGACACATATAGAGACAAACGAGACAAACAACCCTTCACTCTCTCACTCACACCTAGGGACAATTTAGTTACCAATCAGTCTAACATGCATGTTTTTGGTCTGTGGGAGGAAACTGGAGTACCCGGAGAAAACCCACACATGCATGGAAAGAACATGCAAACTCCACCCAGAAAGGCCCCTGGACCGGGGTTTGAACCAGGGACCTGCTCGCTGAGAGGCAGCAGCTCTACCAGTTGTGCCACCGTGCTGCCCAAAAGGCATACAGATTTTATTTTTTTTACAAATAAGATGGCCAAAAGAGTAACAAAAATAGCTAGATTATAAGGCGAATGCATAAAACTAAAAACAGGAACATGTCTGCATTGGTCCTTGCCAGGAGTCCACAATGAAGAACAATGAACATATCAAAGAAAGAGGAGAAAAAAGAAGTAAACAATAATAATAATAATAATAATAATAATAAATAATAATAAAATAAAATACACAAATAAATAAATGTGAGTTACAAAGTTAAACTGTATTTATTATAGATATTATTTTGTTTGTATAGCCTTTTTGTTATTTGAATCTGTGATTGAGTCAAGATACAGTTTTACATCCATTAGAGGTCAAAAAAGGGTTTCCTATGCATTATTTGACTTTTATGGATATGGAACTTAGCAAGAAATGAGATCAGATTGATAATAAATATGTGAGAGGAGTCTTTCGTCTTGAAATCTAGGATACCAAACAGAACATTTTCAAACCAGGTTGGATATTATTGGATATCAGAGCAACAATGTCCTTCCAAAAGTTCTGTGAGTATTTACATTTCCAAAAAAGATAAATAGATGTTTCTGGATAAAGCTTACAGAATGAACAGGAAATATCAATATCACCTTTGTATTTCTGAAGAAAGTGTTTGGTTTGATAAAATTTATTAATTAATTTTAAAGAAACTTCTTTGACTTTATTAGTGAGAAAACATTTTTGCGGGAGAGACCAGACTTTTTCCCAGTTGATTCTGCACAAACGTGTTCCAGTAGGAAACACGAGATGGGGATGTGTAAAGGGAAACAAAGATCTCTTCTCCTCTCCCCTGCCTGGATTGTTTGCTCGGAAGGAACACACGTTTGTGTCAGAATTCAACATCTTTATTCTTACAGACTTCAAAATGTGTGAACAAGAGAGAATTGTTTAAAATTACCTGAATTCAGAGGCCCTCTGTAAAATTCTAAGGTGCTCAAGTCTGTTCCCACATTTATAGACTGTCTTTCTCCACCCAGTGACACTTCCTGTTTTCAATTCCAGTCCATTAAACACCTTACAGACTCTCTGAAGTCCCTGTCCCATCAACCAGGAACACATTAGCCATCATCTCTTTCCACTGAATCTGTGACACATTACAAGCACCAATCTTACATAATCTTACAAAGACTGTGAGATTCTGATTATCCCCTCGGCAACCTGTTACAGTATCAAGTCTTTAGATTGCTCCACTAAGAGCCAGGGTCGCTCTGACGTATTAAGCTACTCTTTTACTCATTATTAATTATGTTTTGATCCCCACCAACACTCAAATGATGTGAAGAATAATTTAATTTCAGTTACCTGAACAAGAACTTTTTTGATGTTTTGTTTGTCATTAAAGGCCTCATTAGAAATAAGTAACTATTTTCCTACTGCCAGCAGAAAGTGTCATGGTTTGATTTTAAAGTTAACAGTCCTTGAAAATATATTATTTATTGACTTATGGCCACATCTATCAGAAATCCTAGCCATCTTTATATGATCTATTTTCCAAATTTCATAATTAAACCTTATATTCACCAATCCATATTATGTTATTTTCCACCATTTTTCATCAAAGGTAATTTCTTCATGAAACCAGATTTTCTTGAAATAAAGAACGGATTGTGGACTTGAGCCTTTTGGTTGAGTTGAGAAGCAGAGCTTGTTTAGGCTCAGGAGGACTGGGTAGAAGAGAAGTCATCTTCCTTGAACAACATGAGCAAACCTGATGGAATAACGTCAAAGGCAATACTATATTCTCTTGGAGTGACAGGAACCTTGTACTGAGTAAGAAATTCTTCATAGCTATAAAGAATACCTTAGTTATATGACGTGTTTAGTTACCTGGTGTTTTGGACTCCGTGTGTTTTATTCAGGCAGACATGAGTAATCGATCCCTGCTCTCCAACGGACTGAGCAATGTTTTCATGCTGACGAGTTGCCCCAGACGCTCTACTATGGCGCTCGTAAAGTCGTCGTTTCAGGTGGGGACTTCATAGCATCCTGTTCTGTTTCGCTTTGGTGGGAAGTACAACCTGCGTTTCGCTACTCCTGGTTTGAATTTTAATTACATTTACCTCCGGACCGGCCATGACCGTGGAGCAGAATGTCCTCCAGCAGCATTCTCAGAAGGTAAGCTTGTAGAAGATACTTTCACTGCTAGCTAACTTTAGCATAACTGCGTTAGCTTCATAGTTTTTGGGGCTCGAAGAACTTACAGAGTCCTGGTCGTCTCGGTGGTTAGTCATGTTGTTTTAAAATGCTCGGGATAGTTATGCTCTTAGTTGTTTACTTCCAAATAAATGGTTTGAACACATATTTTAGCAGCAAGGCCCAAAGCTGCCCTGTCTGCTTGTGTTAGCCAACAACGGTACGGCGTAAGTGAAATCTTAATTGTTCAAGTTTGCTTAAAATTGACAATAGTTAGACATTTAAATATAATATTCTGCGTGGCAACCTGGAGAGCCATTATGTCGTTTATTTAAAACAAAAACCATGCTTAGTGACCACCTAATTTGCTGTGTGTCTTGTCATTTGTTTATGTAGTGTGTAAATGTTTGAGTCAGGGCGTGTACTACTACACTAGTC